TGAAACCAAAACTCAAACTAATCGCAGGCTAAAGAATAAACAGGAAAACAGCTAAGAGGGTTTTGATTAGCCGAGAATTGTAAGAACGAATTACAACTTAATTAACCCCTTCACCCCGAATATCTAAATATCTAATATCTAAATCTGCACTTTCTGCCTTACATTTCTTGTAATGAAAAACGTGTACATACCATTCTCTAGAACCAATTATGGTCTAGCAAGATTTAGTGTAGTGGCATCACAGACCTGGCAAACGATACCTATTAAAATAAAGTGTCTCCCTGCCAAAAGCTTTAAAAAAATATATAAACTCTTCCTACTTGGCAGGCAGACATCTTGAACAACTTTAACCTATCATAGAGCTCTATTTTACTATTTTAACTGTTTAGTATATGTGCTATCTCCTTAAGTGTATTTAACTTCCACTCATCCGTAACTGCTGTGGTGGTGGCCAACTCGAAACAGGGGCGTAGCCAGGATTTTTCAAAGGGAGGGTCACAGAGGCTACTCACCATTTACACCGCTGCTCTCCCGCGTGTATCAGCGGGCTCAGTCGTATTATCGCGGCATGAAGACCCATATTAACAAAATACAAGGGCGGTTGAAGAAAACACTTCACAAAAAAACAAATTTTAAAAAAGTGGGCTTTTCAACAATGGCTTTTACGGCCAAGATATGGCGTTTTCGCCACCTGAATATTGTAGGTTGTTTGCTCTAAAGAAGGCCTACCAAGGGGGGGTCACGGGCACCCCAGGACCCCCCTGGCTACGCCCCTTGCGAAAGCTTGGCTCCTTTGGCTACTACACACTCTTTCCACTGCTTTGTGTAAATTCATGTATAGTTAGAACTCTCTTCTTTTTTTTTTTTTCTACTCGTATTTTTAGTAGAATAAGTGTGAATAACGAATGAATGAATGAATAATGCTATCTTGAGAATTTGGCGTAAAGATCAACACTTCCCCCAGTAGTTGATAGATTTTGTCTATTATCACCTTTCGCTCGAAAATGTTTTGATATCAGGTCTCTCGTGGAACTAAGATGGGTTGAATTAAGCTCGAGATGCGCATAATGTATTTAATATCACAAACTGAACTATCTCGCTGTTTCTCTTCTGTATATCAGTTGAATTGAAATGACGGTGCTTGATTAAAATCCACCTACAGCTGTCGCTTATGCATGTCAATCACACAAAGTATCGTCCGAGGTGCACGCACCCTTAGATCTTTTACTCTGTGGTGTTCTGTCCTTTTTAATATGATAAATAGTTTTAGAAGGTGGTAAAGACGTTAATAGCGAATAGAGTTTGAACGAACTAGAGTATAGTGTGAATAAAGGGTGAAAGTTTCTAGAGAAACTGTGGTGCTGCGTCGGTGGGGGTAACTAGGTAATTTGGTTATATCAGCTAAGTTGAAATTGTAAATTGGCCACCGTAACGAGTTAAAAAGGCTAGCTTTTTTAACTCGTTACGGTGGCCAATTTACAATTTCAACTTAGTTGATATAACCAAATTATGGAGTATAGAGTGTTAGAGAAAGCATAACAACAGCGAAAGAACAGCGATTTGTGCTATTTACTGATTCTTGGTTCAAAAATAATAAATTAAAAATAAATTCTAGGAGCGAATTTTTTTCCTTATTTTATTTAACCAATAGTCGCTAATAGATCTTGCTTTCTGTTTAGGAAATCAAAATTGTTCTTTCAAAATGAAAATAGATTTCTGCGAATCGCTGTTCACTATGTAAACTCAGATTCCAGTAGATATAATCTTAATCAAATAAATTAGTTTAGTTCCTAGCTGACATACTCAAGTCAAATACAATTTCATAGTTCCACAGTTACTTTTATGCAGTGAACAGCAAGCTGTGTACAATACCAGGACGACAAATTTGGTCCTTCAATTCCTATCCAAAACAACTTAACTTAATGATATGCATTTCCATGTGATGCTTGTGGTGAGCCTGAAAAACGTTATTGCCGATTTAATTCTCAGTAACCCGTTCATTCAATTTGTTGTGCCTCTAAGTAACAGGCAGTGTTAAAAATAAGTCGCGTATGAAATCACATCTTTGTTGTTTAGCAGACTGCATGCATGATGGAATCAAAAATAACTATAGAAAAAAAAAAACACAGTATATAGTTTCTCAAAATAATGGTCCTGTGCGTGCATCAAAACTTTTCTTATCTCACTCTTCCTTTCGGGTTCTTTTCTGGTTGTTAGCGCGTCTGCATTTCCAATGGGAGACAGTGAGTACCGCAGCCAGCGCACCAATCATTGAACAGACACCAATCACAATTGATTCAACCACCAGCATGACTGTAGCTATTAACCGGTAAGCAAAATATATTGAGAAAAAGTTCATTAGATCATAAAACGTTTACACTTTACACTGTATGACCTGACGAATGCTACTTTAGACACAAAATTGAAAGCATTTCAAAATAAATTGCTGAACCGTACTATTTTGATCGTAGATTCGCCATTTCATCACCAAAGATTAATGAAGAGTCCCTCGAGCATCTATTGTTTTTCTGTGCTACAACTGAAGTCTTTTGAAAAGAAAGAGGTGTTACCATGGCTGGCCACCCATACAAATGAAATAGTAGTGTTTACACTCATAGGTGTTTTTTTTTGTTTTGTTTTGTTTTTATTTTATTTAGAGATTAACCATAAGGTAGGACTTTAAGTCCGCTACTAGGTTTCTACACCCTAGAAACCCAACCCTATCCCACCCCAGGGGAGGACACCCACCACACAGCAATCTCGCGCGTGGGAAATTAACATCTCCTACCCCTAACCCTGCAGGAGACGGGACCTACGGTTTATTCGTCCTTATCCGAGAAGACTAGAAAATCTATCCATTATTCGATATTATAGCAAGGTAGCACATTCTCCTCAGTTATTTTAAGACCCTGAGTGTTAGTCCGGCCGGTCGGGGCTTGAACCCTCCTCCTCCCGCACAACAGTCCGGCGCTCTACCAGGGGGCGGTTTTGTTTGGTAAATTTGACTTCAAGACTTTATTGTAATTAACCACATGCTTTTGCTTTTTAAAGTTCTATATCTATAGGTTTAAGCTCGACAATACAAAATCATCTTTAAAAGTTTTTAAGGCTCAATTGAAAGCTACTCTTAACGTGGTATTTATGATTGCTTAAAGAAATGGTACACTGGTACAACCTTGCGAAAAGTGGGAATCTTATATTCTTGTATATATTTGTGTACTAAGCTGGTTTAATTAAACGTTCTACATCCCTGCTCTTCTTACCGAGTATTACGTATTAGAGATTATTAGCAATGTTAGTATAACTGTAAATGATGATTAGTATTGAAAGTAATTTTACTTTCCGTATATCATGTAGACAAAGAGTAAGCAAAATTAGTACTGTAAGTACTATTAC